CCCCCACTCCAGGCACCAGACTGACAGCTGTTCGGAGGCAAGCACCCGGAGATAGTGCCCTGTAGCCTGGAGAGGCACACAGAGGGTGGGGTGCAGCCCAGGGGCCAGGAAACCTTTCTGTAAAGGGCCAGAGAGTCAATGTTTGGGCTTTGTAGGCTCCGTGATCCCTGTAGGACAGAAGACACCATAGACAACTTACAAACAAATGGACATGTCTGTTCCAGTAATACTGACTGAGGACACTGAGGTTCGCGCACCATATAACTTTTCATGTATCACAGAGTAGTCTGTTTCAGCAGTCTGTTATTTTAATCTAAGTAAATAGCTGAGTGTATAATCAGAGACTTTTTTTTTTTTAATCCTCACTGGAAGAGTGAAGAAAGAGAAACATCAATTAGTTAAGTGCCCTGACAGGGAACGTGGGTGGAACCTGAGACCCTCCAGTGCACAGGCCGACCCTCGAACCACTGAGCACATCCCCCAGGGCTATCAGATACTTTTTTAATTAATGGACTTTATTTCTTTTTTTTAATACATTTTACTGATTTTTTACAGAGAGGAAGGGAGAGTTTTTTATAGAGAGTTAGAAACATCGATGAGAGAGAAACATCGATCAGCTGCCTCCTGCACACCCCCCACTGGGCATATGCCCGCAACCAAGGTACATGCCCCTGACCGGAATCGAACCCAGGACCCTTGAGTCCGCAGGCCAACGCTCTAGCCACTGAGCCAAACCAGTCAGGGCTGGACTTTATTTCTTAATATATTTTTATTGATTTCAGAGAGGAAAGGAGAGGGAGAAAGATAGAAACATCAATGAGAAAAAAACATCGATGATCAGCTGCCTCCTGCACGCCCCCTACTGGGGATCAAGCCTTCATGTGTCCCAGCTGGGAATTGAACCTGTGACCTCTTGGTTCATAGGTCAATGCTCAACCACTGAGCCATGCCAGCTAGACTGGACTTTATTTCTTAGTAGCTTTAGATTTATAAGATTAAGCAGGTAGTATGTAGAGTTTCATACACTCAACCTTACCTTCACCTCTACACAGTTATCCCTATTAGCATCTTGCGTTAGCAGGATACATTTATTACAATTAACAAGCCAATGTTGATACACTGTTATTAACTGTAATCTATAGCTTACATTAATATTTACTCTGTAGTATATAGTTCTATGGGTTTTGACAAGTGTATAAATGATGTGTATCACATCACGAATTACTCTTTTGATTTTTTTTTTTTCTTCCTCAACCATTTAAAAATGTGGTTGGCTATACAACAGCTGGCAGTGGGCTAGGTTTGGCCTGGGGCCTGTTGGCTGAACCCTGCTCTGGAGTCCAGATCATGGCACTAAGTGCATTTGACCAAAATGTGCTCTAATTAATGAGCTTTTTTGCGGCATCGTCCAGAGATTTGGACGATGGCATCCTTTGTTTTCTGAGCCTGGGATTTGCCCCTATTACTGTTGGGGGGAGGGTCACTTCTCTGCCCATCACTGAGTGTCCCAGAAAGAGGCCGTCCATGTCACTCAGACACATATGTCCTCTTGCTCAGTTGAGTTAGGGACATGGTTTTCCACTGTGCACTCTCCATGTTTTTGGCAGTGCCTGAGCTCTGGCTCCTAGTGAGTGCTGGCACTTTAGAAGGGCTCTGCCTGGGGACGTGGCCCATTGGCTCCTTGGCTGGTGGCCCACACTGGATGAGCTTCTGGGGAGGGCTGCAGCGTCCTTTCCATTGCTTTGATGCGGAGACCGGGCTTGCCTAGGAGGGAAGCCCTGATTATCTTAGCTGAGTGCTCTGGAAGAAGAGTTTCATAGTTCCTGGCCTTAGTAGGCAGCCACAGGTGCCTCCCAGAGTGCTGCCATAGCACCTGCAGCCCTGGCCCGGGGATAGGGGAGTGAGGTGACAGCTGTCCAATATCGGGTGTGGGTTGTCTTAGGAGCCTTCGTTCTGCAAGCAAAGCTCTTGTGTGTTCTTGTTTCCTCTAAGGTGCATATGGAACTGGTGTGGCCAGCTGGCAAGGTAGGCCCTTCTGGGGGTCAGTGGGTGGACACGAGGGTCTCTGGTCAGCCATCCAGAGGAGCTGGGATGCGGGGACCCCCATCTCCCTTCCCAACTGTGCTTATAGCTCTCCTGAAGGCCTGCATGCTGGGCCTGAGGTGCTGAGGAGGCCTCGCGGGGAACTTGCAGGGGATTGTGGTTGTGTTCTGGGAGCAATATCTCTATGGTGGATCTGTCAATAGCCCAACTGCCACTCTGGGCTCTCAGCCACCTCTGGCTTTGGATGGGAAGCAAGTCTTAGGATCTGACACCGAAAATCTGCTCAGAATTGAGGTCTTAGCTCCACCCTCCTCCTGATGCCTCTATGAGCTATACAAAGGCAATGGGGTGCGCAGTGTGGGTGATGCAAGCGGCACTTGGTCCCATGACCCTCTTCCTTCCCTAATGGCAGTGGGTACTCCTCTATAGACATGTCCACCCTGGGCTGGCTTTGTGGCGGCTGAGGTCTGACTTGCCTCTTCTTCCCTTTGGCAGGTTATGAAAACTACAATTATTATGGTGCCCAGAACACCAGCGTCACCACAGCAGCAACCTACAGCTACGGCCCAGCCTCCTGGGAAGCCACCAAGGCTGGTGATGGCCTGGCGCCTGGGGGCCCTGCCATACATATGGCTTCTTATGGCCCAGAGCCATGCACTGACAATTCTGACTCGCTCATTGCCAAGATCAACCAACGTCTAGACATGATGTCCAAGGAAGGAGGCAGGGGTGGGAGCAGCACCGGTGGGGAGGGCATGCAGGACCGGGAGAGGTAATTACACACCTGATCCCTTCCCTGGGGATCCAAACATCACGCTTTCGAGGGAGTGGGTACCTGCTCTCCCAGGAATGCTCTTCCCCGGTCCCTCCTGAGCATGGGTAGATGAGTTGGGCCTTTGTTGGGATAGAGGCATTGTAATTGGACTTGCTGGTTTCCTCAGTGGCGGGGTTTAGGGCATGGCTGTGGTTAAACTATGCCAGACTCCTGATTTTTGCACCAGGAGCTTAACAACCTCCCTGTTCTTGTGGCCAATGGCTTGTGCCCACATTCATCAGTGTTTGGAGGGGAGTATTGGTCTGTTTCGCCTCCAGGCATTTAGGAGGGGCACGTGGTGGTTTGGTTTGCTTTCCTGTTCTGAGTGTAGGGAGGTCAGCTTTGCAGGAGGTGTAGAGATCGGACCCAGAGCATGTAGTCATGGTTGTGCTTTCTTTGCAGTTCCTTCCGCTTCCAGTCATTTGACTCCTACGACTCCAGGCCTTGTCTGCCTGAGCACAATCCCTACCGTCCCAGCTATAGCTACAACTATGACTTTGACCTGGGACCTGACCGCAATGGTGGCTTTGGCAGTCAGTACAGTGACTGTCGGGACCCTGCCCGGGAGCCCCGCTCACTCGATGGCTTCATGCGGGGCCGGGATCAGGGCCGCTTTCAGGACCGGAGCAACGCTGGCACCTTTATGCGCACTGACCCCTTCATGACATCAGCGGCCTCCTCCCAACCACTGTCTGCTCCCTGGACAGAAATGAACTACGTGGGTGGACGGGGCCTGGGAGGCCCCTCTCCCAGCAGGCCCCCACCTTCCCTCTTCTCCCAGTCCATGGCCCCCCAGTCCATGGCCCCCAACTATGGAGTGATGGGCATGCAGGGGGCTGGAGGTTATGACAACTCCGTGCCCTACAGATGTGGCCAGTCACAGACCCGGATGAGGGATCGGGTAAGCCCTTGCAAAGTTCTACCCTGCCTGCCTTGCTTTTCTTTTTAAACAGCTTTATTGAGGTAAAATTTAGAGATTGTAGGATTCACTCATTTTTACGTGTATAATTTGACCTTTAGTAAAAATGTATAGACTTGTGCAATCTTCACCACCGCCTAATTTTTGAACATTTCTGTCAACCCAGAAAGAAACTCTGTCATTAGCAGTCACTCCATATTTTCTCCCCTAGTCCCTGGCAACCACTAACACCTTTCTGTGCATGGATTTGCTGTTTTGGTTATAACACATGAATACAATATGTGTCCTTTTGTGTTTAGCTTTTTAACTTCAGCATAATGGTTGTGGGGGGTTAAGCTATGTTGTCTTTCTTTGCCTTCTGAAAAGACCTTGTCTATCTTTGTTCTCTGATCTTACCCTCTTCATTCTTCATTCCCCTGGGGCAGTGGTCGGCAAACTCATTAGTCAACAGCCAAATATCAACAGTACAACGATTGAAATTTCTTTTGAGAGCCAAATTTTTTAAACTTAAACTATATAGGTAGGTACATTGTTATTAACTTAATTAGGGTACTCCTAAGGCTTAGGAAGAGCCACACTCAAGGGGCCAAAGAGCCGCATGTGGCTCGTGAGCTGCAGTTTGCCAACCACGGCCCTGGGGTATCTTAATGGCCCGGGAAGGTGGTACATCAGGATGTGCTTGTGTCTGTAGCCCAGGTGGAGAGGGTTTGACCGCTGCGGCCCAGATGGCATGGGCAGGAAACGGAAGCAGTTGCAAATCTATGATGAGCCGGATGCCAAACAGGCCCGGGCTGACAGCGAAGGAGATTTTTCCGAAAATGGTACGCCCTGGGGGTGGGATACAGTGAGTTTTCAGTGGGTATGAGTCAGTTGCATGCTTAGTGCCTTGCCTGCCTGTCCGTACAGTGGACACCCAGGAACTCAAGGGTGCTGTGTGTCACCCAAACTCCCACAGTCCCCACTGTGGTCAGGATAGGCTTCGTCACTCTGGACAGTGAGCTTGGGAGGGTGAAAACCGGGCCACTGCTGAGGGGCTAACTTTTCCAATTACTTTTGTGTCTGGTAGATGATGGAGCTGGTGACTTCCGGTCAGGAGATGAAGAATTCAGGGGAGTAAGTCCACCTTCACTGGTCAATCTCCTTTGTCTCTAGTGCAGGGTTTCTTCCTTCTTCCTCACAGAGACAGGCACTGCTGCTATGGTAGACTCGCAGCTAGTGTGTTCCACCTGAAACAATCCTTGCCTTCCTGAAAAAAATTCCCAGCCCTCCTGCCCCCCTCCCAGCCTTTCCTGTGTCCTTACAGTAATGTGCCTAGCTGCACACGTGGTAAGTGCAGTGGCTGTGCAGGTTGAGGCTTCCAAACATGTACTGAAGACTTGCAGCTTCACGCTGGTGCTGGGCTGCATCCATGTCACTCATTCCTTCCAACCAGTCGTGGTAGACAGGTGTTTAAGGTCGGCTCTTAGCATGAGGACCTGGCGAGTGAACCTTTGCCACTCACTGTAAATTCTGATCCAATTCTAGGCTAGGGCCCTAGATCTGTGTGTATGAAGGCTTTGCACAGATGCTTCTAATGGTCAGGCCGGTTGGCGGAAGATGGGAGAAGTTGGGTAGAGTGAGTTTTCAGCTTTTCTGAGGGTCTTGTCCCATGTTTTGCTTCAGTCTTGAGTCTAGGAATCACTGTGTACTTGCTGATTGGTAATTTAATCTTTGGCTTCATGCCTAAGAAATGGACTCCCTTTCCATTTTCACTTAGATGGTCATTTTTATCCACACCTAATTTTTTACAACCTTTGGTAAATACAAATGGCTGGGAAACTTGGTAAAACCCATTTCCAATAAAGAGCACTGGAAGTAGCATCCTACAAATCAGGGTTTCTTGACATACAATTTATGAATGGGCTCCTGGCATTCCCATGTGCAGAGCTGTGCAGGTGTACATTGCCAGAGGCCGTACTTTAGCTTTAGAAAGCTGAAAGAAGGTCAGTGTCTTTAATGAAAAAGCAAAACAGATTAGTCATCACAGAATCCCAGAAGGCAACCAGTAGTGACAGGATACACTCAGGCTCTGTCCCATAGCCCTGGACCTTGTCCTAGCACCTTGTGACTAGGTTCCTGGTGGCACAGCAGCCACCAGGTAGTGGCAGGGGGAGCTAGGCTGGTGTGGAGAGTTCTGGAAACCACCTCACTGCCCCACTTCGTGTGTGTGCTTTTTCAGGAGGACGAATTCTTGGACTCCGGGAGGCAGAGAGGTAGGCATTGCCCATTGTCCCTTTGAACTTTCCTGTGTCTGCCCAGCTGTCCTGCACTCACTGCCCAACACTCAGCTGAGCTGGGTTTCTGAGCAAGCCTGGAGCCTGGATGGAGGGGATGATGGCTCAGGGCAGAAGAGGGGCTGTGATTACTGGGCGAGCTTTGGCCATGGCACTCACCCCAAGACTTTGCTCCATTGTAAATGCAGGCTATGGAGGGACGGGGCAGCTCACCTGTGGGTGGTGCCTGCAGCAGCTTGAGGGGTCGTGAAGGGAATCTCAGAAATGCGAGAGAGAAAGAAAAGGTGCCCTCCAGCTGTCTTCTCCGTTACCCTGGTCCATGCAGGTCCCTGTACTGTTCTGGGCTTCGTTATCTCCACAGTCCTTCGATTGCCAGCCGAGGCCATGGAGCTGCCTCAGCCTTCATGGTGGGATTGCTGGCAACTGCAGCACATTGCTGCATGGGACAGAGTTTGGACACCTGCCTGGATTGGGGGCTGAGGGAAGGAGGGGGGGCCTGTCAGGTACACCCAGACCCAGATAGCCCAGCGGCAGTCATTGCTCACTGCTCAGCAGGCCCCGTCACTTCCAGTGCCAGAGACTTAAGGGTACAAATTTAGTGGCAAAAGCAAAGCCAAATTAAACCTCTTAGGGTGAGGAGGGGGCAGGGAGAAGCAGCCTGGGACTTGGTGGCCTTGAGCTTACCCAAAAGCCACTTTTCCTATTCCCGTGGGTCTTGTAGCTGGTTTTCCCCAAGAATCACAGGCTGGTTCTGCTCCCGTCAATTCTGAAGGCCCCTGGCTTAGCTGCTGCTTCCCTTATGTGTTCAGGTTTAGCCAGCCCCCTGAGGTCTTCTCACTCTGTTTATGTATTGAAGCGATCATGTCTGTAGCTTGGGACCACACAACACTGAGCAGCTCGTGCAGCGGGGAAATGCTAAAGCAAAGGTGACATGTTTATTGCGTGCAGGTCCTGCTACCCACCCTGGATGGCTTTGCTATTAAACAGCAGTAATAGTTTCAGGCAGTGACCTCTTGCCAAAAATCCCACACGCCCTTTTGAGAGGCTTCTGAGCAGCGCACGCCGTCGCCATCTTCGTGGGACAGTCTCGTGACTGGCATCAGGGGTAGGGGTTACAGTTCAGATGCTTATCCAACCTTTTTTCAGTGTCTGGCCCTGCTCTGAGCCACGGTAACCTGACCTGGCCTCACGCTGGGACACTGGGCTGGCCCCAGGAGATGGATGGAGGACCGACAGGTCTCTTCCTACTTCTCTTTCTAGGATTGCTTCCCATATAGCCCTGGGAAAGCCCTAGAGTGACAGTTTTCATGAGTGGAAGATAGAGTTCGGGCCAGCAAGGACTGACAGACCTGCTGAGGCCCTAGTTCAGAGGAGGCCTACGGGATGGTTGTCCTGGTCCACCCAGAGGTGGGACGGGGAGGTAGAACAGCTTTATTTTCTGAGGCTTCTACCTGCTGCCTCTTTACCTAGGAAGAACTACTCTCTTAACTGATGTTGGGAGAAGACCCACTCATAAGGCAGTGGATTGGAAACGCAGGATAGGGAAGAACAGAGATCAGGTGGGCCTCAGTGTGAGTGGGATGGGTGGGCCGTGTCCCTGGCCCATCCCAGCCTTATTAGGCCATGGGGGGAGTGAGGTGTCTCCCCTGGGAACGCCCCAGGGTTCTCATCCAAGCTCATATGTGGGAGCCTTTGACAGTCCCTTGGTGCCTCAGGGTGTCCTGACCCTGCTGTGTGTGGAGGCAGCAGCAGGGCACAGGGTGCAGTGGCCGAGCTGCAGCCCCATCAAGGCCCTGGTGCTTAGCTCCTCTGTGGGCTCTGCAGAGGGTCTTGAAGGGATTTCTCTGTTGCAGAGAAGGATGACGAGGATGATGAAGTGAAGAAGAGGAAGGAGAAGCAAAGGAGAAGAGACAGGTTGCGAGACCGAGCAGCTGACAGGTGAGGTGGCAGGTCAGCTGGACCTGGGCACTGTCAAGGCTCTTCTAAGCTCGTCGGTTCTTACTCTGTGATGCGGGCAGAGCCTGGTTTGAGCTGACTCCAGGTGTCTGTGGGAAGGCCTAGTCAGAGTGGTGGTAGACAAAACTTGAGAAACACGAATGGAATCATATTCTTGCCAGAGGTCCCTGTGGCCCTCATGTGCCCACACAGACGTTCTATTACCTTTTCCATACCCCTGGGGAGTTTCCTTGTTCCCTGGCCTGTGTCTGTCATCCAAAACAACTGATCTTCATCAAGCAGAGCTGCTAAGGAGGTGACCTGGTGCGTTGTCCCAATCCAGACTCCAAATCTGGAGTTTGATTTACCAATTATACGTGTATCAACGTTACCTTTTGTGCCGAGCTAGCTCAGCCAAGGGTTCGCAAGCCTGAGTGAGGGCGGTGAAGGGATGAAGAAATGACAGACACAGAGAATAAGCTGGGTCTAGGTCAGGGGTGGGCAAACTTTTTGACTCGAGGGCCACAGTGGGTTCTTAAACTGGACCGGAGGGCCAGAACAAAAGCATGGATGGAGTGTTTGTGTGAACTAATATAAATTCAAAGTAAACGTGTATCAATGTTACCTTTTGTGCCGAGCTAGCTCAGCCAAGGGTTCACAAGCCTGAGTGAGGGCGGTGAAGGGATAAAGAAATGACAAAGAGAATAAGCTGGGTCTAGGTGGATCTTCCTGTGCCTGGCTGAGGCCACAGAGAGATCCAGAGGCCCGCTGAGCCTTTATTTTATAGCCAGAGGTAAACAAGGTAGTGGTCACCATAGTTACAGTGTTCTTGTGAGTTTCACTTGTTTTGGCAGCACTTGCTGCCCTCCTATAGCCCATTAGCTTCCCAGGAAGGATCTAGGAAGCGTCATAAGGTCAAGCCTAATTATGCTAAGAAGACTGTGCCCTTTAAGCTGGGACTTGTTTGTGGCTTTGCCAACAGGTCAGTCTGAGGCTTAACCCTATAGCTGTGCCCTACAACCTTTAAATAGAAAAAGAAGCACAAAAACACAAAGCCCAAAGAGTGTTGGTGTGACCACACCGTGTACTTCTCTCCCTGTTCAGTGGTTATGTGGCTGCTGACTAGAAAAGTAAACCACTGGTGGCCATGGGAGCCCTTGGTTGCCAAGGTCTTAACCACACATGGCTGCTCCTCTGTGCACAGGTTCTCTTAAGGCTCACCTGGTGCAAAGAATACTCACCAAAAGGGGTAACAGAGACAGGAACTAAAATGTAGGAGCTTTCAGGTGTTACAAGAATTCATCAAAACCCTTGTAAAGGCCTAGCTTGTTGCGCAGTGGTTAGAACATCGGCCCTTAGACTGGAGGGTCTTGGGCTCGGTTCTGGGCAAGACTCCATCCTGGCCCCAGTCGGGGCACATGTGAGAGGCAACCAATCGATGTGTGTCTCACATTGATGTTTCTGTCTCTATATCTCCCTTCCCTTCGACTCTCTCTAAAAATAAAAATAGAAAAAATATCCTCAGATGAGAATTAATAACAACAAAAAATCCTCATTAAATAGATGAGTAAATAGGTGATGGCTAGACTTGATCTATTTACGTGCCACATGAGAACTTAGATGACATTTTAAAAAAAGAATCTTTAAATCCTGCCCTAGTGATGGTTCTAGAGCAATTATCAATTGTTGGAGCAGTTATTACAGAGGAGGTGGAGATACAGCCAGGAAACCTATTTCTTTCTAATAGTTCTGCACATAGAGCCTGGGTGACTTTTTTCCTTTTCACTCCTCTGTTAGGGTATCTACAAAAGCTTGTGGCACTTGCCTAGAGATCCAAGCCAGGTGCTAGAGGTCAGCAGAATCTGGCGTTAGCAGAGGAGTCCTGAGTGCCACATGGCCTGTGTTCTTACCACAAAAGACCCAGAGGCTTTTGGGCAAAGCCAAGGGAAGCAGCACTCCACTGTGGTGGTATGCAGGTCTGCAGGCCACTCTCTCATCACCTTATAGCATGATTGCATTTGTGAGACTTTGAAATCACATGACAAAGAAACGTTAGTTTTTATCCATGAATTTGACATAACGTGCCTTTACGTCGAACCCTGTCAGAGAATTTTTCTTAGGTCGTGTCAAATTTTTTTTTTAATCCTCACTGGAGGATGACATGCTTAGAGAGAGGAGAGAGAGAGACATTGATGTGAGAGAAACATCGATTAGTTGCCTTCCGCATGTGCTCTGACTGGGAATTGAACCCGAAACCCAGGTATGTACTCTGACCTGGAATTGAACCGGCTACCTAAAATTGAGTCACCTAAGTCCTTCGGGCCAAAAAGACTGGTATAGTAGTAAATTGCTACACGAATCATTTTCCTGAATACTTTTAAGATTGTAGTCCCAATCCTTGAAAGAAAACTGCTATTTTTTTTTTAACTGTTTTATATATATATATATATATATATATATATATATATATAAATTTATTGATTGATTGATTTCAGAGAGGAAGGGAATCACTGATCAGCCGCTTCCTGTTTGCCCCTGACTGGGAATCAAACTGTGACCTACTCGTTCATGGGTTGACACTCAACCACTAACCACTGAACCACACCAGCTGGGCAGGAAACGGCTATTCTTGACTCCCCATGAGAAGTCCGAAGTCTTGGTTCAGAAACTGCTTCCCCATTGTTGTTTCAGTTCTAACCAGAGATGAACTCGTTATCCCTGCATCACTGTTCTTGCTTTTTGTCTTCCTCCTCCAGGATTCAATTTGCCTGTTCCGTGTGCAAATTTCGTAGCTTTGAAGATGAAGAAATCCAGAAGCATCTGCAAAGCAAATTTCACAAAGAGACACTGCGGTTTATAAGCACCAAACTGCCTGACAAGACGGTGGAGTTCCTTCAGGTGAAGCACACTTGGCCTCTATCACAGTGCTTCCCACTGACCCTACAGGTGTCAGATCCCTCACAGGGAAAGGGAAGGGAAATGAGGTCTGAACTTGGTAAAGATTTCTATTTCCAGAAAAACAGTTGGTCTGGTCCCCATGTCAGGAATAACTGAGCTCCAACCATTGTAGTTCCCATTAGTTCTGCCCACGGAGCTGCCTGGCTGTCATCCGATAGGGACTGGGCAGACACTCCTGGTGAGCTGCCTCTACTGCAGTTGAGAAATACCCACACGTGCTATCCTCTCCTGGTTTCAGTTGGTGCTGTCTCTCAACCCCTTTAGGAATACATTGTAAACAGGAATAAGAAGATTGAGAAGCGACGTCAGGAACTGATGGAGAAGGAAAGCACAAAACCAAAACCAGATCCTTTCAAAGGTGAGTTGTGATCCCAGGGGGTGTGCTGTTCTGCATGGCACTAAGGCACATGATTCAGTGCAAAGCCAGCACAGGGCTGCTGGGGATGGAATGGGAAGACCCATGGGAGGGGCACTTAGCAATGGAAACAGGCCCTCCAGTTTGGCCTAATAGAGATCCCAGCTCTACAGGCAAGTTAACAGTGACATGAAGCGCTCTGCAGTTTTTTCCTTCTGGGACTGAAGGAGAAGAAAAGTTGGAAGTAATAATGTCCTGGTGTAGAGGCTGGTGGTTCTGACCCTGCACTCCTGCTGGAAGGCTGATGGCGCCGGTCTCAGATTCTGTCCTCACGGAATCCCTAGAGAGGGCTGCAGGGAGAAAATGCGGGCCTCGTTGGGGGCTGGAGGGGGTGGGGAGCATTACATGCATGCTGTCCCAGATCCCGTATGACTTGGATTTCATCAACAGGGATTGGCCAAGAGCACTTCTTCAAGAAGATCGAGGCTGCTCACTGCTTGGCTTGCGACATGCTGATCCCTGCGCAGCACCAGCTCCTCCAACGGCACCTGCACTCTGTGGATCACAATCACAACCGCCGGGTGAGCCCCTCCTGATGCTGGCTGAGGGACCAGCCTTCCCGGGCTTCTAGTGGAGGTTTCAGAACCTTCTGTGTCTTAGGAGGAATGCTAACATCTTTAGGGGCTCTTGCCATATCCCATCAAGTCTGCCACTTCATCAGTTGATTGTATGATGCTCTCTAGTTTCTGTGAAAATGTGTTGCTTAGAATTGATTTAATACATAGTTGAAATTGTCCTGGTTTGAGAGTGTTCCCTGTAAACCACACAAATCAACTCCTCATTTGCTGAAAAACTAGATTTTCTGTAAACTGAGGCCAAAGGCCATTCAGAGCAGAGTGGCCTGGGAGACCCATTTGGTCCTTACTAGCTTATGGGGCCTGAGGCTAAAAATTCAGTTCGGGTCAGCAAATTTTTCTGTAAAGGGTCAAATTGTAAATATTTTCAGCTTTGCAGGCCATAAGGTCTCTGTCCAAGTCTGGTGTTGGTGGGCAAAAGCAGCCACAGATCAGATAGTAAGTGAAAGAATGGGTGTGGCTGCACTTGACCCTCTGGCTGTAGCTTGCTGATCCCCGAATTAACATCTCTGTTCTTAGTTTACCCAGTGATGAAATGGAGCCCTCAGTACTTGCCTGCCCATCTCCCCATTTTTTGTTTGTTTGTGTGCTTTTTTAATTTTAGAGAGAAAGAGGAAGGCGGGGTGGGGGAAGGAGAGAGAAGTAGTGATTTGTTGTTCTACTGATTTATGCATTCGTTGGTTGCTTCTTACAGCACAACCTCGGCATATCAGGATGGTGCTCTAACCAACTGGGCTACCCGGCCAGGGCTCCCCACCTCCCAGTTGCATTAAAGAGCAGCCAAAAGCACTGTATAAACAAGTGATTATTGTATGGGTGTCAAGCTGTTTTTGAGCTTTCATAGTTTTGCTATTGAACTTATTATGAAGTTAATATAACTCAAAACTGAAAAGAAAAAGCTTACTCCTTTCCCTACTTAGTTTACAAAGCTTCTAATCTATAAATGAACAACTTGATGTAGCCTGGCTGGTGTGTTCTCTTGCTCCTGTATATGTGTCATTTTTGAAAACCTATGTGTGGTTCCCTTTGCAGTTGGCTGCTGAACAGTTCAAGAAAACAAGTCTCCATGTGGCTAAGAGTGTTTTGAACAACAGACATATAGTGAAGATGCTGGAAAAATACCTCAAGGTTAGGAGTCCAATGGATGGGAAAAGCTTTCGGAATGGAGAAAGAACTATGAGTGTGGAACTGTATCTCCAGTGCAGTGCTTAGGATTTCTGAGTCTTTTGAACTGAGGGATGTTGTAATGTATCGGGCTTGGGAGTTCCACAACTGGATTTCCCGAGTCCGAGTGCTTGCTTGAGAACTCTGGGATGTGGTTCTGCTCGATTAATCTGTACAATAGTGTTGATTCTCTACATGAGAAACCTTGACTATCCATAAAATACTGAGCAAATGATGGTGAGATGCTTAAAAAGAAACATATCCAAGGTAGGTAATTGTCCAAGAAAGAAGCTAAAATGAGGTTTTGCTGGCAGATCCAACTGAATAAAATGGAGGATCAAGGCGCAGAGAAGAGCCAGAGGTGCCTCAGCCACTGAGCCATAGTGACAGGAGCCGAGTAACAAAAAGTCCCAAAGAAGGGTGCCTGGGAGAGAAGTTGGAAGAGCCCCCCTGGTTCCTCCTTGGGAAGCCCGTTTCCTAAATGCTCAGTCCCATGACTTTAACTTCTAAAGGCTGGTAGCTAAGCTGTAGCATAGCCTGGCTAGGACCTGTTTGCCCTCCTCTCAGTTATTAAATGGTTCAATACCGAAGGGGTGGGGGTTCGATTCCCCGTCAAGGGCGTGTACCCGAGTTGTTCCCCACCTGGTCTGGGTGCCTGCGGAAGGCAGCCGGTCGATGTGTCTCTCTCACGTTGATGGTTTTCCCTCTCCTCCCTTCCCCCTCTCCCCATCTCCCCCCTCCTCCTCTCCTCTTCCCCCCTCCCTCTTTTTCCCTCTCTCCCTCCCTTCCTCCCTTCCATTCTGAAAGCAATGGAAAAAATATCCTCAGGTGAGGATTAACCAAAAGGAAAAAAGTACAAAATAGTTCTAGTGAAGCTTTTCGGAGATGTCTTTTCTGCATCTATAGGCTCTGAGATCCTTTAGGGTTAA